AGCTAAAGAAAAACAAACAGATAGACAGAGATATAGATACGGATAGATACAGATACAAATATACTGTATTTCACTTTCCTAGGCTTCTGAATTCTGTTCCACAAGCCAAAAGGAATCGTGATTGTTTCTTTATTCCTTTTCTTTTTTACTTTTTCTCAGGCAAAGGGAGCACATTTTTCTTTGGAAATCCATTCTAGAACCTTTTTCTAGAAATTCACTTTAATGGAGCTATGGTCAAAGAAAGCAGCGACAATCAAACAATGTAGAGCTTCCTGCCATAGCAAAAAAGCAAGGGATTTAAAGATGTAGCACTCAAACAGACACAAATGTAAATAGAGCATATGATGAGGGGACCACTTAGCAATGGCCTTACTGTGTTTTTGTCTTTCCTGAAATGTTGAGTTCAGGTAGCTATTGAGGTTCATTTTGTTTTTGTTTTTTAAACTACTGTTTCTATATGTTCACATACTTCATAGAAATATTAAAATAAATATTGCTTCTAATGTTCTCCGAGGTCATCAGTACAAAGAAATATTCCTTCCCTGCTGCCTACTATAAGCCGTTAACTAAAGCCCTTTTTCTTACTTGCTGTTGTAAAAGCTTTTCCTCAACCCTGCAATTAAATTGTTCAGAATTTCATTTATAAATCACAACTGAGAAAGAACTGTAGATTTCAGCTGTTGAAATATTACCACTCTGATTTTAATTAAATAAAATCCATTTGTGTAGGGTGGAGAGCAACATTGCATTCTACTGATGTAATGTAGTTTTAGCTGTCTCTGATATTGTTGTGAATACAACGGACCACTTCAAACTATGTGTTTCTCCCAAAACTTGCCTATTGCATGTAGACAAGCAATAAACACCTGTCTTGTGTGACAATTATAGTGATATATTAATTTTGGCTTTTCTCAGATTGTTATTTTTGTAAGTCTGCCAGGTTAGGGTCATCAATATTTAGTCATCAATTTTTGCTGACATTAAGCTTGGGAATTATTCAGCTTATGTTTCCCCAAAGAGTAATATTTACATTTGTGATTTTGGTTGTTATATTCAACTTTTAATTGATTGTAAAACAAATAATGCATTTTTACATTATTTTTGAAGGATATTAAGCGGGAGACCATTAGTTCTATATCTGCCTCAGACATGAAAATCAGCTGGCTGACTTTCGGCCAGTCATTCTCTCCAAGCCCAGCTCGCCTCACAGGGTGGCTTTTGCGGGGAAAATAGGAGGAGGAAGGTGTGTTGGATATGTTAGCTGCCTTGAATTATTTGTACAAATAATAAAAGCAGAATACAAATGAATAAATAAAAAAATTACGTTTTCGACTTACAACAGTCCATTTAGTGACCATTAGAAGTTGTAATGGCACTGAAAAAAAATGACATGACTGTTTTTCACACTTATGACCATTGCAGCATTCCCATGGTCACGTGATCAAAATTCTGAAGCTTGGTAACTGACTCACATTTATGATGGTTGCAGTGTGCTGGGGTCATGGGGTCCCCTTTTGTGACCTTCTGACAAGCCAATGGGGAAGCCAGATTCAGTTTACAACTGTGTAACTTAACAACTGCAGTGATTCACTTAACAAGTATGGCAAGAAAAACCGTAAAATGGGACAAAACTCATTTAACAAATTTTCCCCTTAGCAGCACAAATGTTGGGCTCAATTGTGGTTGTGAGTCGAGGGCTACCTGTACAAAACTTTTCACATGTTTTGTCTAGGGTGTGAAGTTGAACTGGCAACCTGCTTTGAAAATTTGGAGGGGAAAGTGTGAATTTTGAATAAGAAGATTGTTTTGCTTCTGTCTCCGTTTTATCCTTGCTCCATTGGTACATTTGTCTCCCTGCAGTCCTACCCAAGTCTACCCAGGGAACTGACATAGTGCAATAGGGTCAGGTTTTATTTATTTTTCCTTCTGGAGATTCAACTACCTACTTGAGGAAGCTATATCTGGATTGCAGATGGATAGGTATGAATTGACATGCGATGGACCAAATCAAAGGCTATCATAAACTCTAGCAGTATTTTTTTCCCCAGTGGCACCAGTTCAACCATCTGAATTTGAATAATATATGAGAAATGCATATCTGAGAAACCAGTGGTTTGGAGTAGTATTTCTTTTTAAACAGCAAGACCTTTCATCCTAGGGCCCAGTTGCCAAGATAACGAAGTTGATTAATTTCAAAAATATGCATACCTGTATATTTTTCTCTTTTAGCATTGTTTTAAAGGTCACTGTATCTGGTTAACTCCAGATATCTTGAAGCAAGATGGAAACTGGGGAGCATGGAGTAAATTTGGTTCCTGTTCCAGAACTTGTGGAACAGGAGTGAAATTCCGGACACGTCAATGTGACAATCCACAGTAAGTTCAACCTAATCAAATTATGCTCTTTGATAATGGATTTTGGTTTAGATGTCTTCAATGGATTTAAAATAATGTTAAACTATCACAAAATATTTTAAAAATTGCTTAGTTATGAGTAAGGATTAAATTTAAGTTGTAATTCAGACCATTGCTTTGCTCTTGTATTTGTTTCACTGCCAACCTACTGGAAAGATAAAATAAAGCACATCATGCAATATTGTGGCAGACTATGTTAGGACATATAATATTATGTCAGTTTCTTATTGCCATTCCTTTTAAAAGAATTAATTTGATGAGTTTAAGGTGTGTAATTTAATATATTTCAATCTGTTGTGCATCCTCCTTGGGAATTCTAATGAATGAAAGTAATAGTAATGCAGTACATTTTATAAATGAATATTGGCCATGGTCAAAGATAAACCCTGCTGTTGTTTCCCCCATCACTCCTTTATTTTCTAACAAGCATTCTGCACCCAAATTTCTAGACTGCAGAATACTTTAAGATGCAAGTTATCTATTCACTTCATATTAAAACAAAGAGACTTAACTGGATTTTGTCTGTGTGTAAGATTTCTCTTTCTAATATAAGAAACATATATGTGAAAGTTCGTTATGGTGTTTGACTGAAATAATGAAAAAATAAATACTTTTATTTTCACTAAAATGTCCTGTTAACTTTAAGATGAGTGTGCCTCCAGATTCGCACTTATTTTGCAAGCCAATTCCACTGATTTTACTGGAAGAAACAAATTTATGCTCAATAGATTTCTTCGTACCATATCTGATCACAAATCTGACATCAATTGTTCAAAATGAACCAGGAAATCATTTTTTAAGTATCATGTTTTTTTGTTTACTATTGAAGTCAGGAAAGATATAAGAGAAGTTTATTTTTGCCAGACAGCCAATTCAACATTCAGGGACTTAAAAGAAATCAGTACCACTTCTGGTGATATTTTTTAAAAAAATCATTACTATGGATTCTTCATATAAAGTAACAAAATCTTAAAAACAGCACAAAAGGCAACATGAGAAAATACAGCAGTAAGTTAAAAAGTAATAAGATAAATATTTGATGCATAATCTCCTTTATAAATTACAGTAAGATTTAGGAAATTAAATTATCCAAGCAATAAATGAAAAATTTGGACTGGGTCCTTAACCTGTCAGAAAAATATCATAATCACTTCAAATGCTGCATTAAAGTTTTCATAGTTAGTGTGTGTGTGTGTGTGTGTGTGTGTGTGTGTGTGTGTGCATTCAGGTATTTCTTTTATTCTATAAGATGATTATAAATGAAATCCAACTATTCTTAATTGAATCATACTTAATTTCTTTTAATAGCTGAAAACTGCCATGAGTTGGGCTGACTGCAATGGATAATAATAGCAATAGCACTTATATACCATTTCACAGTGCTTTACAACCCTCTCTAAGTGGTTTACAGAATAAGCATACTGCCCCCAGCAATCTGGGTCCTCATTTCACTAACCTTGGAAGGATGGAAAGCTGAATTAAGCTGGAGCCCATCAGGATCAAACTCCTGATTATGGGCAGAGTCAGTATGCACTACATACTTAAGAAACAATCTTTTTCCCCTTCTTGCTTGCTGGATTCCCCACATTCCTACTGAAAAGTGCCTTCTTTCCCCAAATTTCCAGTGTGTTTTTTAAGCTTATGGAGAGGCTGCAGAAGGGAAAGGACAATCCTGGGGTGGGATTCAAATTTCTTAACAATCAGTTCTGTGGGTATGGCTTAATTGGTGGGTGTGGCTTGGTGGTCATGTGACTGGCTGGACATGGCTTGTATGTAAATATTATAAATATTGATGTAAATATTGATTATTTTATTAAAAAAGAGCAACTTTTACCCAAAATCAGGCAAAGCAGGCAGGCAGATTAAGTTGCTCAAAGAATCACAGATTCATTCAGAAATCTGTTTCTGCCATCTGCTACCTGAGTCTGCACTAAATAATAGAAGCTTCAGACTCAGCTCTGCTTTTAGATTAGCTAGAAAGCAAGAAATCCAGCGATTTCCTGCTTTCTAGTTAATCTAACTCTCCCGACACAGCAGAACAGCTGATGATCGAGGGGAAAAAAAGGAAAAATAACAACTTATCAGGCAAGTTTGATGGCACGCATGCCAGTGAGTGGGCGGGGCAGGGGGGCAGGGCCAGCCAGTGGCACGGTTTGCCAGTTCTCCAGCAGGTAGAATCCCACCCCTGGTAAGAGTGCGTTTTGCATGTACATGTAGACCATCTCCTAAAAACCTCAGCTGTGCTGCCCAGACAGCTGACAAGCGCTGCACGAGGGTGTGCAGCGTTTGAAAATCCTCTTCTTTCCTGCTTGTTCAACCTCAGCTGTGCCGCAGAAAGCAGCTGAAGTTGAAAAAGCAGGAAATAAAGTACAGCCAAGAGCCTAGGTGGGCAGGCAGGCCAAACAGAGCAGCAGACACTGAATCGGTTCAGTGTCTGCTGCTCTTCAGAGCTACCAGTTCTGTAGAACCGGCCGAACCAGTAGCATCCCACCCCTGGGACAATCTCTCCTAACTCTGTGTGCAGAATCTCTTTCTTAAGCATACAACCTACATTGTATCTCACCCACAACTATTTCAGCATTTAAATAGTGCATATTCAGTGTTTCATATTTATCCATATATCCCATTAGGTCATATTGCAGCTATCGAGACTAAGAGTAAGCAACTGTGCTGTCCTACCTCATACATATTCAAAACAGAGCTTATAGATTTTGGAAATCAATGGAAATTAATCTTGGAAATGAACAATAAATAAGTACAGGTAGTCTTCAATTTACAACAGTTCACTTAGTGACTCTTTGAAATTACAACTGCACTGAAAAAAGGTGACATGATGATTTTTCACACTTATGATCATTGCAGCATTCCCATGGTCATGTGATTTACATTTGGATGCTTGACAACTGATTCACATTTATGACTGTTGCAGTGTCCCAGGTCATGTGATTCCCCTCTTGTGACCTTTTGACAAACAAAGTCAAGGGGGAAACCAGATTTATTTAACAACCATGCTACTGATTCAGTGATTCACTTAACAAATGGGGCAAGAAAAATCATAAAATGGGGCAAAACTCACTTAACAAATTTCTCCCTTAGCAACAAAAATTGTGGACTCAGTTATGGTCGTAAGTTGAGGACCACTTGTAATAAGGAATCTGTGGGTTTCTAGGCATTGTTGGACTGCAGTTCTTTCACTTTGTGAAATTTTCTGATTGGCATTCATGGGAATTTGAATCCAATAACTGGGGAAATACCACTTTTACAGCTGCAAAAAAATGCAACGATCTATTATATTCTAAAATTGTTCATTCGTATTACTTCTTCTTTTCCCTAGCCCTGCTAATGGAGGCCGCACATGTTTTGGGCCAAGCTATGAGTTCCAGCTCTGCAATAACCAAGATTGTCCTGATGATCATGAAGACTTCAGAGAGGAGCAGTGCAGGCAGTGGGATCCCGTTTTTGAATATCAAAATACGAAGCATCACTGGCTCCCATATGAACATACTGATGGTTCGCACAATTTATCTTTTTCATTTCATTATTAGCAGAGCAGACCAGGATAACTCTGCCCAGTTTCAAACACTGCAATGTCCCGTGTGCAGAAATGCTGCAATTCATTAGCATTAACCCTCAGATCAGGAGTGGGCAACTAGGCCCCCTTTAGAATCTATGGACTTCAACTCCCAGAATTCAGTGAATCAACATTTAAAAAACTATTTAATGAGAAGATAAATTACCCAAATATTTTCCCTTATAGCTAAAGAAAGGTGCCACCTCTACTGTGAGTCCAAGGAGACTAATGATGTGGTGTATATGAAAAGATTGGTACATGATGGAACACGGTGCTCCTATAAGGATTTGCACAGTATCTGTATGCGAGGAGAATGCCTGGTAGGTTACATGTGTTTCAGGAATTTCTTTTTTTATTTTTCTATCTGTAAGAGTAATATTAAAATTATAATGAGCTGTGGTAGAGCAGTGGATAGAATGCAAAATTGCAGGCTAATTCTGCAGCTCTATTCTAGTTTGATTCTCACCAGCTCAAGGTTGACTCAGCCTTCTTCCGAAGTCAGTAAAATGAGCACCCAGATTGTTGGAGGCAATATGCTGACTCTGTAAACCTCTTAGAGAGGACTCCAAAGCACCATGAAGCAGTATATAAATCTAAGTGCTATTGCTATATATAAAACGGGCTAGTTTTTCCCCTTCCCCTGGCTGATTTATAAAATATTCTATAGAAATTATACTGAAAGATGATTTTAAAAGAAATCATATGTGTAGTATTTTACTATTTTATTGGAAGTGGCAGAATATTTTTCAAATCATAATATTTATTAATAGTAAACTATCCTCAGGAGGGAATTGTAATATGTGAAAACAACTATTTAAAAGGAAAATATTTGTTGAAGTTTTTAAAGGGGAAAAAATCATTACATGGAGAGAGAAATCTCCAAAGAGTCCCAAGAAAAATAGCTGTGTTCCACAACTGTAGAATGCTTCGAAGGTTAGAGATTCAAGATGGCAGGAAATGAAATGATGTGGTTAGAGACACATTGCTGTGTTCTGAATGTGTTACTTAGTTTAGAATGGCTGCTGAGCACACTTCTAAATTTGTTTTTATTTAAGGAAATAGTTATTGCTTTCTATAAGCACATGCACTAGATGAGCACATGGATCTAGTCAATTAAACTACCCTTAAATTCTTTTTTAAAAACTCTTAGTTCCTAGTGCATGTTGGAATGTTCCATAAAGACAGTGTTTAGAAAGAATATCTGTGAGTTAATGATGGTACTTTGAGCCACCACCTACATGATTTTTTTTATAGCACTTTAGCGATTTCCAAAGTTTTACCTATAACCAAGAAAAGTGACCTTGATATAGGTAAAGATAGGTATTCATTGTTTGCCATGTGATACAGTCATTCTAGATACGCTTGGGTACAATTTTCAACAATTCCTAACCCAAACCATATCTACCATTCAGTTTTTGAGTTATCTGCAATAAACCTTGTATTTGGCTGATTTCTGTGATATGTAACTTGAGGACAGACTTGCTAAAGTGTGATGTCTTTAAACTGAAAGAGAAAAAGAGAAACATAAGGTTGTTTTTGGTGTTATTTTCTCAGGGATTGTAGATATGAAACTCTAGGTCTATGATTTTCACTATCTAAAATAGATGTGGGGGTGGGAATCAAATATCTACTTAAACTCAAGTTCTGGAGATCATTCTTCTATTCTTGAAATAAGGTCCCATGGGACTATCAATATATTATTTCAGGAACATACTTATATTTTAGACCTGAATATCCTGTTTAAATATCCTGATCTAGTTATCATTCAAAAAAAAGACTCTTATACACTCTTACACACAAAACGAATGGATTTTTTTCCCCTTGGTTTCAGAAAGTCGGCTGTGACAAAGTAATAGGGTCATCAAAGCAAGAAGATAAATGTGGTGTGTGCGGTGGAGACAACACCCATTGCAAAGTGGTGAAAGGAACATTCTCCAGGGCACCAAAGAAACAAGGTTATTCTTATTTAAATATAATATACTTGCCCTAGAAAAGTATGTGTTTAATTTTAAAAGGAGTTTAAGAATTTATTTAATAGCATATTTCCTTTGCTGTATCAAATGCTGCTCTTGAACAGGTTCAGATGGAAACATGTTTTCTTAAATAAAATCAATATAAAAAGAACATCCAAATTTATAAATCTGAGATATGTTTTTATATGTCTTGGTCTACTCAAACCATAAAACAGACTCCTATGTAAGTCTACTCGTTTGAATCCAAAGAGTCTTTTGAATCCAGAGAAGCGAGTTTCAGACAATAGCCTTAATTTAATAGAGATATTGTCATCTGTCTCCCCATATGCATTTCTCAACACCTCTGAGGAGCATCTATCAATTGTCTACCTATCATCTTAAAGTGAAGCAAGGAAAAATCCACACTCCAAACCAAAGGGAAATAGATATTTTGAGACCTGCTTATATCTCTGTCCCCTTTTCGGGCTTCTGTCCTTTTATTGTGACCACTGTTGCAACTCTTTAAATGAGTTGCAATGCAGTGCAAATCAGCACTGCATTCAGACCACCATTGGCCCCTGCTGAAATACATGTCTGTCTTGATACCTTGTCCTTAAAACCAGAGTGTTAGATATGTTCAGACTTTATGCTCTCTTGGTTGTTCATTCTAAACTAGATTATTGTCTGACTTGCACAATCTGTCCACTTTGCATTATGTTTATTTTTCGGGGGGGTGGGGTGAAAAATCTTGTCAAAAAACTGAGTCCTTCCATTTGAAAAACAGTCAAAAGACAGAATTGAACAAATAAGCTGAGATCAATGCATAAAAGGTTCTTCTTTCTAAAAGGAAAAAATACCAGGTTTTTTTTCCTGATCCAACCCTGCCTGCTTAGGAGTAAAGATAATCATGAGCCTTTAAAAATAGATAAAATGACTAAAATTGTACAGTGATCCCTGATTCAAAAAGGAAAAGTCAATTGGGAGTAAGCAGGGATGTGCACACTGCAGCTTTTGGTTCCTTGTTGTCTTTAAAAAGTTGCCAACAGATGGGATGTGGACATCAGCATGCACTCTGAATCACCTTCCCCTTTTGAGTCTGGTTCAAATGCTCCATCTTATATTTATAATCATTACTTTGTTTCCTGCTTTTATTCTTCCAGGAATGCAAGATGATTTCTATGGCGCTACCCCATTTTATTTTTTACAAAAGCCCTGTGGCTAAGTTGGAATGAATTGTATGTTATGAATTTGCACCCTATCTCTCTCTCTGTGTGTGTTTGTTCTCTTGTTCAGTTTCTCTGCATCATCAGTATGCCATGTTTTACAAAGAGGAGAAGGGGAAAACCAGATATCAGAGGAAGTAAAGTCAGAGTCTCTATTTAATTAATTGACATTTCTCAATAATAAATATGAAACACCGCTTCCATATTCTTTTTATAGCTCCTTTATACTCTGTGCTGTTAGGCTGACATGACAACATTGAAGGGGGTTAAAGGAGGAGTTCCTGGATGATCAGGGTTCAGAGAGCTAAACCTTTTGGCTGAAGGAGCTGCATTTGTAGCTAGATTTAGCTACAAATCTAGGTTGTTGATTCACTGAGCCATGATGACACAGTAGTTAGAATGCAGGCTAACTCTGCCCATTACCAGGAGTTCGATCTTGACCAGTTCAAGATTGATTCAGCCTTCCATTCTTCCGAGGTGGGTAAAATAAGGACTCAAATTGTTGGGGGCGATATGCTGATTCTGTAAACCACTTATAGAGGGCTGTAAAGCTCTATGAAGCAGAATATATGTTGAAGTGCTATTGCTATTGCTACAAATATCTAAAATAAGCAGTCATCTGCAAATGTGCTAGAATGAAGATGTCAAGAATGATATAAGTATAGGTGTCAAGTCTGTGGGCCACATCCGGCCCATGGGGTGCCTGGAAATAGCAAAGGACGGGGCCATGGTGCCTCTGGCAGCCAAAACAGGGCATGGAGGGGCTGCATGTGGCCATCCAGACTGAAAACAGGGAACAGGGGGCCTCATGACTCCCCCCAACCCCATTTTGGCCAGCAGGGTGCTGCAGAAGGCCATTCAGATCAAAAACAGGGCACAGGAGGTCCTCACGCCCACCCCTCATGGCCTGTTTTGCCAGCAGGGGGCTGCCGCCGGCCCCCCCCCCCCCCCCCCCCCCCCCCCCCCCCAGCCAGCCTGCGGAGAACTACAATGCTGATCCGGCTGTTGAAGAAATTCAGTTTGATACCCCTGATATAGTAGATTCCAGCACTGAATAACAGAAAGGACCAGGTTTATCTTGAAAGACCCTTTCAAATATATTGTATTTTATTCTTGTTGTTTTAATTTTAAGAGTATCTTGTGATTTTAAAGTGTTGTAAGCTCAGATGAATACACCTTTTGAGAGGAAGCATCTACATTCTTTAGAAAAGAAACAAAAGGTGCCTTAGAACTCACAAGTTAAAACGGCAAATTTCTTCATGGCTATAGGTTGCATGGAATATTTTCAGGGAAGACAGAAAATCTTCTCAGTGGACAACGTGATGGTGCAAAGAACAACAACAACTATATGAATCTAGTTTTCAAGGAACTATTGCTACATTTATGCATTATCTGATGATAAATTATCCTGCAAACATTGTGGTTTAAGTCAGTTCTGGAGCTTCAAAATATTTTTAAAAAACAGTTAGATGGCACCTACTATATAAAATAAAGTAATAGCTAGAGCAAATATTCATGCTTTTTTCTTTTCCTTATAAAAGTTATTGTTAATAGTTGTGATGCTTTCTTGCAGGTTACCTCAAAATGTTTGACATTCCAGCTGGTGCCAGGCATTTACTTATACAAGAATCTGATGCTACTGTTCATAATCTTGGTACGTATCATATTGCATCATAGTCAGCTTTTGCTGATGGATGTGTTTTTCCTGACAAGCTGAAATTCTATTCTGGTTATAAAATATATTTTAATTGAGTTGGAGAACAGTTTTGTAGGAGTAAAATAGCACTAATGCAACAATATAGAAGCTAGTAGAGCAATTTTAATCACTTTTAAGGCTGAAAACCAAACTAGTAGCAAATATGGGTAATTCCATGTTTGCATGTTATGTTCATTGCTGGAATTCTCTGAGTTTGTTTGGTTTTGCAGTGAAATTATTTCTATATATCTGCAGTCCCAAACTCTTGCTTGGAGAACTCCAGCACGCAATATTTTTGTTGAGGTAATTCCCCATTAGGAGAATGAGTGCACGCAGGGAAACATAGTGAGAGTGATGTTGAATAACACATGACCAGCACACAGATGCACTGAATAATAAAATGTAGGTTTTACTTCCAGTAAACAGTTAAGCAAAGTCCAACAAGCAGTCCAAGTCATACACGGTTAAAGCAGTCAGTATTCAGTCCAGGGAAAATCCAAATAACAAAGTCCAGTATCATAAACAGTTCAGTAACAGACTCACAGCAATCCAAGAAGAACGACGATCAGCAACAGTCAATAGGAAAAATGCAGGAACCAAGAACATTGACCATCAGAACATTCCTAACATTCTTCCCTTTGGGTAGGACAATATATAACACCTTACAGTTTAAGTCCATATCTTTCACAGCAAGCTTTATGCTTTACAGAACCTTGGGCTTTTGTAAAATTATCTGCAATGTTATTCTCTGACCTGCAATACTCCAGTTTAATCATTTTACTTTGCACACATGTCTCACATTTAAATATCTTAAATCTGTGAGTTTTGATCTTGCCTTTACAGCAAGATTGGAAGCCATCTGTATAGCTGATTGGTTGTCTTCATAAACAACAATAGAATCTGTTACATCAATTCCCATGTCAATCAATAGTTACTTATAACAAACTAAATCTGTACATAATAAAGACAAACATGAGATTTCAGCCTCCATTGTTGATAGACTTAGAAGTTTCTGTCGAATAGACCTCCATCCACTCAACACCTTTCCTAATAATACGACAGTACCTGATGTTGATTTACATGTATTTATGTCTGTAGCGAAACTTGCATCAGCATATGCAGTTAAACTTAGTTCATCCTTAGGCTCCAAATATAATGCATAATGCATTGTTTGTTTCAGATATCTTAACACACGCTTAGCAGCTTGCCAGTGCCTTTCAGTTGGCTCAGCATTAAATCTCGCTAATTGGTTAACACCGTATGCTATATCTGGCCTTGACCAATTACTGAGATAAGATAAGCTACCAATCAAGGATTGATAAATATATTTAACCAAAACCGGACTTTGTACATCATTGTGACTAAATTCCTGGCTCATTGGTGTTTTAGCCTGTTTACAAAGTTCCATTTTAAAATTCTTCAGTAACTGGTTAATTTTATCTGCCTGTGAGATTTTGTATCCTCCCCTAGTTTTATCTACCTTTAGACCAAGATATTGTTTAATTTCTCCTAACTGTTTTATCTGAAATTTCTTTTCTAATAGTGAAATAATCTCAGTGGCTTCTTGTTCAGTTTTGGTGATTAATGCTATGTCATCAATGAACAATAGCAACAATGAAACTACACCATCACTTTCCTTTTTAAATAAACATGGATCAGCCATGCCAGCTACAAAACCTATCTTAGTTAATTCCTTAACTATACACTGGTTCCACTCATATCCTGATTGCTTCAAGCCATAAAGACTCTTTTTCAATCTCCAGCAGTCAGTTGTATTATAATTGTTTATACCTAAAGCTTTCTTTAAATATATAGTGTGTTGCAACAGTGCATGCAGATACGCCATCTCTACTTCTAAATGTTTTATAATGTATTTCTCCTTAGTTGCCCAAACTAATGCTGCCCTTAATGTAGTAGCCTTCAACTAGGCATAGTTGTTTGCTGTCTGATTGAACCCTTGTGCTACTAACCTGGCTTTATGAGTAACAGTTCCATCCACACCTGTCTTAAGTTTATAAATCCACTTACACTCTATGGCATGTTTCCCTGATGGTAACCTGACATTTTCATATACCTCCAACCTTTGTAAACATTTCAGTTCCTTATCCATTGCTTCCTGCCAAGCAGCATGATCCTTAGCAGGATATAGTTTCAGTTCATTATAGTTAGTAGGAATTATATTTACTTGGCATACTACACTAGTCTGATATCTATCTGGTGGTCATGTTACATGGGTTGAATGTCTAGGTAACTCAGGGCTTACTGATAGACTCTCCTGTTCTACCTGCTCCTGTTCTTCTACCTCCTCCTGTGCCTGTTCTTCCTCTTTAATGGCTATTGATGGTTTAACTATCTCATCGCTAGGAACTACTTGGGTGTCAATAACAACATCATAGTTGGATTCCTGTTCTAGTTTATGCCACCCAACATGCTCAAGAAATTTAGCACTAGTGCTACAGTAAACATTAGCTGTGTCTTGATCCCAAAATCTAAACGATCTATGGTTGGCCTCGTAACCTATGAAAAATAATTTCCTAGCTCTATGTTGCCCTTTCAGTCTTACTTGTCAGGGAATATGCACCCATGCCGGAGCCCAAATGTGTGTAAATAACTTAAATTTGATTTTCTGCCATGCCAACGAGTGAATGGCAATTCACCAGTTGTTGTGTTAACCACATTGTTCAACACATGGTTACTACACATTATGGCCTCACCCCACAGTGTTTCAGGTAAACCTGAATCAGATAACATAGTGCGAGCCATGGCTTGTAACGTTTGCCCTCTTTGTTCTATAAACAAGTTATGTAATGGTCTGTAAGGTGCAGAACATTTATGCTCGACATCAGCCAATTTTAACATAGTTTGGCATCTCTTGTTAATAAACTCAGTCCCATTATCAGTAGCTAAAGTAATTACCCTATGTTTCATTTTTCTTTCTGCAAATCTTAGCAATGTTAGAAATGTTGGAATGTTTCTGGTTTGTTTTTTATGAGATAGCAGAAACCGTACCATGAGTAATGATCCATTATACTCAAAACATATCAGGCACCTCCCAAACTAGGTTTCTTAGGACCAGTTATGTCAGCAAATACAACCTCTAAAAGTTCTTTGGTCTTAAACCCTTATACTCTCTTTATCAAAGCAATCTAGAAATGTATTTGTTTCAGCCAGATCCTTTTTTGTTGTAGAAGTAGTAGTGAAATATTGTTGTAGAGAGGAATTTATAGAAACAAAATCTCTACACAAATATATAGAATTTTAAAAATTCACAGATTTTACTTGGATCATAATTTGAACTTTATTGTACTAAGTAACTTGGTACCTGCTCTTTGAAATAGTATGTCTAACTTTCCTAAAACTTGGTTTTGAAATAATAAATGCCCAGGATCACTTGGAATCAGACAGCATACACATTTAATAAATCAATAAATCATGTGTAATTTGACTCAATATAATTGTGCAAACAATGTTTGCTGCAGAGCCCACATTTCCTGTGCATCAGATTTACCAGATGTGTTTTTGCTTACATCTCCAGCATCCATTCTCTTGGTCCTTCTTTCTAGTTCTAAGCCAGCTGCAGCAAGAACGTTCAATCAAGCAAAGTTTCAATAATAATTGAAGCTCTCAATCTTTACAGCTCAGTGGATCGATAAGAGGCATTGTCTTGTAGGCTGTAATTAATTAGAAGCAGATTCATGTCCACTGACCTAGTAACTTTTCTATGAATCATCCAAGCTTTGTTTTAAGAGGGATGTTTCATGAATTGCTGTTTTCTGCAGCTGTCTGGGATTAATAATGTTCATTGCACAGACATATTCCTTACGTTATGCAAACTGTTTCTGAAAAACCATGAGCGAGATATAAACCTTCTGTTTTTGTAAATCTGATGAACGTATGGATGCTGACAACACAAATGAATCTTGAAGCAGTTGGGAAGGAAGGCAGGAAGTGTACAAGGCTGTCATGTCTGACTATTATTTTGAAAGAGAAAATATTTTTTACATGTTTTAATGTAGTAGCGGGCCAGCAAATTTAGTAGTGACAAGCAGAGAGATATAAAGACTGCTGCTGAGCTGTACATGAAAAGAGGGAAGATTGTGTAAAATTCTCATGTTCAAAGAGGCCTGGTACAATCAAATCGCCTTTCATGGATAATTTTTTTTTTCATATTTAATATGCATGCTCTTTGGTCATTGACCCTATTTGAGGATTTCTGTCTTTGAAATTAAGCTATTTTCCTTTTTTTAAAAAATCAGCCGATAGTGAAACCTACAAACTTGGGCCCATACAACTGCAATCAATATATAGCTAATTATCCAAGAATAGTAGCCAATTTGAACCTCATTAAACTAGAGTTTGGAGAAGGTGGGAGAAATATAAACATCAGTCTCTGCCTTCACCCCTCTCCCCTTCACAGATTTTGCTTACTTTCATTCTGGCACTTCTCTAAAAAATTCCTTCTCTAATAGAACGTTAGTGATTAAAAAAAAAAAAGACTGTGGCAAGCTATAGGTTTTTCATATAGATGGAAGACGCTGTTGCCTGGATCCATATATACTTTTGTAAATGAGGAAGAACATTGCATAATAAAGCTTTATTTGAAGGACATCCTTAGTATCCTAACAATTCTAGCAGGGAATATAGTTGGAAGTTTGAGAAGCCAATGGAAAATCAACCATGTCCCTGTTAGGTTCCAAGAAATACAACAAGCCTTAGGTTCCAATAGTACAACAAACCTTGTATTATTGTCTAAGGTGAATTATAATATACCATAATTCAAAATCTACCACATTTAGAATCACATAGTACCCTGCCTTGAGACATAGAATAGATAGAATTCTTTATTGTCCAAGTAATTTGGACAAAAAGGAATTTGTCTTGGTACAAATACTCTCAGTGTACATAAAAAGAAAAGATAATTCATTAAGAGTCAAGAATCATAAGGTATAACATTTAGTAATAGTCATAGGGTACAATAAGCAATCAAATCATACTAGGAAACAATCCATATAAATTGTAAGGATACAAGTGACAAAGTTACAGTCACAAGTGGGAGGGGATGAGTGATAAGGAGTGATGAGAAGATTAATAATAATAGTAGTGCAGACTTTATAAATAGTTGGACAGTGTTGTGGGAATTATTTGTTTAGCAGAGTGATGTCGTTTTGGAAAAATCTGTCCTTGTGTCTAGTTGTTCTGTTGTGCAGTGCCTTGTGGTGTTGTTTTGAGGGTAGGAATTGAAACATTTTACAGTTAGGCAGCCTAATTTTAAAAAAAAATCCTCATTTTTTTTCCAAAACACTCAGTAGGACATTGGGAAATACAGTGCTCTTTTCTCAAGACAGAGAAGAAACAATTCAAAACATTTCTTTTATGGGAAGAAGATTATTTTTTCCCCTTCTGGTTGGGACTATAGAAACTTGGAACCAGCCTTGGAACCGGAGACTTCTCAGTTTTGTCATAGATAAGAAACAAAGGATTCCAAATTTTTTATTTTGGTGGGGGATGGGGAGTTAAGAATAACTAGATTGGATATTTTGGCTGCTTTTTAGCAAATTTCATTTTGTTAGTACTAAAATGTTTATATAAACTTTTCTGGTGATACTTTTTGATGAATTTTCCAAGTAAAGTAAATAAAGCAAGCAGTCACTTCTGTGACTTCTAGAAAAAAAAATTAAAAATGAGAAGGAAAGGGAACCTCCTCACATCTCTTCACTTCATATTTCTTATTTTGTTTTTAGCGATCAAGAATCGAGAAACAGGGAAATTTATTCTAAATGAAAACAATTACGTGCCAGACTCCAAAACTTTCATCCACATGGGTACAGAATGGGAGTATCGGAATGATGAGGACAGGGAAATGGTCCAAACGATGGGTCCTTTACGTCACAGCATCAGCATTTTGGTAAGTTCCCTGAAGACAAGGGTGCCATGTCACAGTGAGTCATGCACCCTTCATTTGATATATAGTGTCAGTTAAGGAATCTGTTTTAAGGATGAAAGCCAAATCTAGATTGTGCCTCCCAACTATATACGTTGCCTCTCTTGTTCATGAGAACTCTGGGGATATGGATTTCCCTTTTTTCAGAAAACAAGACTGGGGAACTTGTGGGGAGGATGTGGTTGGCAGAGTGGCAGAGGCAAAATGAAGAGACCGCCAGGACCATGGACCTGGAACAAGACCGGAGAATCACGGAAGCCTAAATCTTGGTTGCAATCTGGTTTTGAAGAGATTTTAAAAGTGATGTTAAAATGATCTTCCTGAAAAGATATACATTATTTGTCTAACTAGGTAATTCCTCATGGTAACGGGAAGATTTCATTGACATACAAATTTATGATCCATGAAGATTCTTTAAATGTTGATGATAACAATGTCTTGAAAGATCTTGTACCATATGAATGGGCTCTGAAAAAATGGACCCAGTGCTCAAAACCTTGTGGAGGAGGTAAAGATGCTGATGACTGCACTGACTTTTCTGTCTGTTATGAAAAACTGTGTTTCTAATTATGCTTTTAAGTAAGCTTGATGGTTTAATGTAGTTTATAGCTGAATTTGAGACTGGAATCCATGATATTAAAATGTCTTAACAGGCTTACCTGTAATTTTTTATCTGTGGTACTGTCATTCATTCATTCAGTTCAGCACATTTGATTTTTCCAAACAATCATCCATCAAGTCTTTGTGAGATTATCCAAAGTGTAATGATTTATTATGAATCATTAGATGTTGACATCTTCAGTTACATTTTAATAGGGAAAAGTTTAGTTCATAGGCAGAAAGATACACTCCATGGGAATTATTTATTGCTGTCTATTATTTGTAAGATGCTGCACATCTAAAAAATGTACAATAGTTTAAAAAGTACACAGGTGAAATAAACAAGTGGCAGGAGACAAAAAGCTGCAGTGTAAATTTTCAGTGGAGAATTTACCTTGCATTTCATATCTAGAGTAGACTGAACTAACACAATACTTAACCAGTAATGTGTCAGTTGTTGGTTTTTACAGAATATGCAAACTTGTTCCACATTATCTCATTTCCCAGCTCCCAGAATTCCACCTTCTCTGAAATTTGGAATCAATCTCAAACACCCACCACACTTGCTGCCCCTAACTACATACCTGTAGCAGAACTGCTGAACTGTAGGGCAGAAACCTGAAGGTCTTAAACCTCATCTCCCAGAAGTATTTTGAGACTTCATAACTGATCATCACCTGCTATTCTTTTTTATAGGCCTGTCACTATCTATCATTCAAGAGGTAATTAGCTTGTATGTTCCCATTAACTGTGGTGTGTCACAGAGAGAGATCTTTCATATCCTGTGCTGCCTGACTGTAATTGAATAGTGAAAAATACAAAAAGTTGACATAATTTCTACATTGCTGCCTCCTTGATCATTAGGAGGATATGACCACACATTTCAGTCCTTTGAGCTCCTGTTGGGAGACTGAACAAAGATTAATGAAATCAAAGTTTATGGAGAAAGAGAGAGGGAGGGGAAGGGAGAGAGGGAGGCAGGGTGGGGGAGAGAGAGAGAGAGAGAGAGAGAGAGAGAGAGAGAGAGAGAGAGAGGCTTGCTAAATGAAAACACAACGATGTTTACAGGCAGATTTTATAAGCTTATAAAATATGTAATGCTCCTGACAGACCACAAGATGACACTGATTTGCTATAAATGAGTGTTCTGCCAGGATATTTAAATTTAGATTAATTACAGATTAAAAATATTCAAAAATGATGCGCAGCATGAGGATATGTATAATAGGCAGAAGTGCACAGTTACTTGAATTAAGAAAAATCTAAAAAAGGTAATTATTCTAACACAGAAAAATATATTAATCCTAATGCAAATTCTGGAGTAAACTTGTTACCTATTTCTTCACAACTAGATTTCTCTTGAAACAGTTATTTCCTTTGTCCATTTTGCCTAAACATTATCTCAGGTAAATTCTCCCTTTATCAGAGGTTTCCCAAACTCAGCTCATACATCCTTCCTATGTTTCTTTCACGTGTCTGCTTTTGTTTTTTTAAGAGGATTCATTTTCTACTTCCAGAACAGAGCAAGACACAGTCCTATTTCTTGATCTACATGACAAAAAACATGGCTGACCTGAAAACACAGATTCTAAGTTCATAGCCTGCACAAGGATATTTTTATTTTGAGTTTCTGTCTTCTCTTGTTGCCAAAAACATCATTCTTTATTATTCTCAACATCATTCTTTATCTATATCACATGAGGGAAATAAATATCTTCCTTTTGGAAGGCCACAAATATATGTCAGCATAACAATTCAAGCACTCACAGAATTTAATATTATGAATACAAAATGCAGCCGCAACACAGATGTGTTTAGTGGAGCAATGATAAACTCACTTAAGCCAAGTTTGACTTTGATAACTGCACAGACACATCCAAATTGTATTATTAGCAAATATATGAGTTGCCATTGCTTTCTTCCCATATCATTCTCCTGCTTCTCAGTATTGCCTACACCCCTGGGATTTCCAGATGGTTGGGTCTTGGTTTTTTGACCAACTTACAACTAAGTGTAAGAACTGGGGAGGGGAGCAGGATCCCATTTTAACCATTTTGTGTTTGCCCTATTTTTTGCAACCTGTATATGGCAGCCCAAGTATACTGACTTCTCTGTATAATTGAAGCCTGATGTTGTCTGATCTGGAAAGCTAAGCAAAGTCACTCCTGGTTCAGTGGAAGAGGACCTTTTAGGAAGCACAGGGTAGTTGACTACACTGAGAACTCAAACTTAAAGGAAGAAGGCAATAGCAAGTGATAGGAATGTATCTGTGTAAATTATCAAGAGTCAAGCTTGACTCCAATGAGATTTTACTTTACTTTTATGTAACTGAAGCTAATGTATAAACCATTCCCAACTCTATGTGCTTTCCTGGATTACTAAGAGATGGACAAATATCTGAACAGGCCTCTGTGCAGAAGAGAATTATTCTATTACCTTTGGTTTAACTGGTGAAAGGAAGTCATAAAATAGTGTAGGATCCAATCTGGGTCAGTCTCCAGGACCAGAGGTTGTGTCTTCTGAGCTTTCGGACTTATGCTGGAGCCCATTCTCAGGGAACTTCTCTCTAGTAAGAAGATGGGCTCCAGCACGAGTCCAAAAGCTCAGAAGACACAACCTCTGGTCCTGGTGACTGAGCCAGATTGGGTCCTGCAACATTATTTTGGGACATGTTTATTTGCCTTCATGCATCAAATAGTGGCCAGAGTATTTTTAGTGGGGGGCGGGACAAAAATATTTGAAGTATGTGAAAGTTCTTTGAAATGCTGAAGTATTTTTTTTTTCTCCCTTAAGGGTACCAATTTACAAAATATGGTTGCCGGAGAAAGAATGATCTGAAGATGATCCGTCGCAGTTACTGTGAGTCTATCTCAAAACCCAGGCCCATTCGCAGAATGTGCAATCTCCAGGAATGTTCCCAGCCAACGTAAGTGGGTCTTTCTGAATTTTCACTCCCGTGAAAATACTCACCTCCTAACGCAACATTGCCTTGCTTCAGACGATTTTGTCTTAACATTCTTCCCTTTCTATCGCTTTTTTTTTGGGGGGGGGGGCGGGAATCAGGGCTGTTCTGATACTTTTATAAAGTTATTCCGTTAGGAATTACATATGATGTAATGTGAAATGATGAAATTAGAAAATTAAGATATTTAAGTTTAAAAATCATGTAAATAAGGTTTCCTGATAGCAAAATGAATTTTGAAGGGGATAAGCTTTTTTTTTTTTTTTAAGAAAAACATCTTAGTAAACTTGATAGAATAAGTCCTTATTGAACATATGTACATATCTGAATATTTGAAGGGGAAGCACATAGAATTTATATAAATTGATTTCAGTTCTTTAAAAATATGTACAGGCTGTTATTGAAAAATATCCCATTTCCTAATCCTAATCTGAACAGCAATAAAAACTTTTTACAGAGTAACTTTTAGAAATGTTAGGTTGTTGAAGCATGGTGGAAAATGAGGATTTTCTGCTTACAAAACCTTTAGATGTAAACATTTATGATATTTTTCATTTAGATACTTACTTCTGATCATTTTAAACAGATATTTACACTCCATGGTTTGGATTAGCAGGTATTGTAAAGATAGAGGATATGCCTTTGTTTCTAGTCTAACTAGAGTTTAGCTATTTAAAAAATGCATAGATAGGATTATCCCTTTTTGGGTTGAGAATCTCATACACGTCTGCAAGAAAACAAGCAAGCTCAGAAAGCACCAAGGACTCTTTATCTCATACATGTTCATTCTTGATAAATCAGGATTTTGGTTATTTAGCATCATGTCCCAACCAAATTAATTGATGTGTCTGCAGTAATGTTACAATGCTGTGCATTCCATTACCACTTAACTCACATCATTGGGTTGATGTAGACCTTCCGTGTAGTAAAACAACCATACCTAAAAGGAAGGAATATCACAGAGCAGGCTTTATGTATACACATTAATTTGAAAATCCTAAAATCATAGGTGACTTGGGAATAATGTCCGCTCTATAATTTGTTTGCTTTCACATTCCCTAGTTCACTGTGCCCTAACTGAAAGGGAATGTAGGGATTTCTTGGAAAGAGCAACTATTTAGTTCTGCCCTGGTTTTAAAGAGGAATTTCTCCATGGAAGTTGTTTCTATTTCACTTACTGTAGATCAGAAGGTATCACCAGGGGTGGGCTTCAAAAATTTTAGCAAAGAATTCTCTGCCCTTGGCCATGGTGGTCGTGGCCTAGTTGGCTTCCTGCACCATAGGGGGGGGGGGCATTTTTGCCCTCTCTGGCCTCCAAAGGCTCTCTGAAGCCAGAAACTGGCCCATTTCTGGCCTTCCTGAACTTCCAGGAGGCCCGTTTTTCACCCTCCCTGAGCCTTTGCATGCGTCCTGCATTTACCTGCATCCAAAATGCGCCACGTGGGGATTCCTGGGGGGCGAGGGGGCAGGGCAGGCCAGCGAGGAGTGGGATTTGCGGGTTCTCCAAACTGCACAGAATTTTAGCTAGGGGCTCTTCCGAACCCCTGCAAACCTCCAGCAGCCCACTCCTGGTTATCACAGCCTGAGCAAACTGTCCTCTGATGCTATTTGTGAAGCATCTTGACCAATTCATTGCTGGGAAATGGAAATGGTGTTAGTTGGAGTATGGCAAAAAAGAAGAGTCCAGAGTTTTGCAACACCTATGTTTTTAATATTTATATGATTATCACACACTCTATTGATACTCTTCAATATCTTCATTAACGACTTAGATGAGGGAATAGAAGGGGAACTTACCAAATTTGCAGATGATACTAAGCTGGCAGGAATAGCTAACACCCAAGAAGATAGGCTCAAGATCCAGAGGGATCTTGACAGACTAGAACACTGGGCCATATCTAACAAAATGAAATTCAATGTAGAGAAAAACAAAATCCTACACTTAGGCAAGAAAAACCAAAAGTACACATATAGATTGGGTGAAACCAGGCTCAATAGCAGTAACTGTGAGAGGAATCTTGGAGTCTTAGTGGACAACCAGCTAAATATGAGCCAGCAGTGTGCAGCACGGGCCAAAAAAGCTAATGCAATCCTAAATTGTATTAACAGAAGGATACAATCAAGATCAAGGGAAGTACTAATACCACTTTATAAAGCCTTAGTAAGACCACATCTAGAGTACTGGATCCAGTTTTGTTCACCACATTATAAAAAAGTTGTTGAGACTCTAGAAAAAGTGCAGAGAAGAGCTGCCAGGATGATTAGGGGACTGGAGGCTAAAACATACAACGAACAGTTGCAGGAACTGGGCTTGGCTAGTCTAGTAAAGAGAAGGACCAGGGGAGACATGATAGCAGTCTTCCAATATTTGAGGGGCTGCCACAGGGAGGAAGCTATTTTCTAAAGCACCTGAAGGCTAGACAAAGAATTCTTCCATCCAAAGAATAATGGATGGAAACCGAACAAGGAGAGATTTAACCTGGAAACAAGGAGAAAACTTTCTGACAGTGAGAACAATCGACCAATGGAACAGCATGCCCTTGGACATTGTGGGAGCGCCATCAGTTGAGACTTTCAAGAAGAGATTGGACTGCCATTTGTCAGAAATGGTATAGGGTCTCCCGCTTGGGCGGGAGGTTGGACTAGGTGACCTACAAGGTCCCTTCCAACTCTGATTATCTGTTAAATCTGTTAAATCACAGGTGCAGAAATAGGTAAACGTTGTTCCCAAGAATAATGGCTCTGTTGCTTTGAAAGATTTACAAGGGAACAACAAACTGTGAAGTTATGGCTTTCATTTCCCTTCGTATGGTACTTAGCTGACTATTGAATTGTTGGCAAAGCGAAAGTAGAAATTTTTATTTCCAAGAATTATGCTGCTTCTTTTACTAACAACGCTTGTTTCGGTAGTGGTTCTCCCTGCTGCTTTCCATGTTAATTGTTTAGAGCATTACGAATAGATGATCTTATGTGTCAGAAAAACTAGCAGAAAATTCTGTTCTCCTAAGGCTGACATATCTACATTAGGATAGTTCAACAGCAAAATTATTGTAGGGGTTATATTTTTTTAGAAAATGTAAAATCCAGCTCTCATTTCTAAGTACAGGTTGTCCTCCACTTATGACCACAATTCAACCTCAAATTTCTGCTGCTAAGCAAGGCAGTTTTGTAAGTAAATTTTGCCCCATTTTACTTTCTTGCTGTAGTTGTTAGGTGAATCACTGCAGCTGTTAATTTACAACACAGTTGTTAAGTGAATCTGGCTTCCCCATTAACTTTGCTTGACAGAAGGTCACAAAAGGTGATCTCATGATTCTGGGATTCTGAAACCGTCATAAATATGAGTCAGTCACCAAGCGTCTGAAGTTTGATTACATGTCCATAAGTGTGAAAAATGATTGTAAATCACTTTTTTCGCTGCTGCTGTAACTTTGAGTAATCACTACATGAACTGTTGTAAGTCAAGGACTACTTGTATATTGGGATTGTATATATTTATAAATTTGTCAAGTTTATCCATTCTTCTTCTTTTATTGAAATCTTTAGTTTTCTCTCTTGTCCTATTATTTAAAAAGAAAAAGCAGAAAAAGCATTTTTCCCTGAGGGAAGAATTCTTTATAATTAATTCCAAAATCTTATTTCAAACTTATTTAAACCCATAGTATATTTGTAGCTTTCTAAAACTGAAGTGTTAACTAATCTTCTGCTGTTTATCTTAAGCTTGTAGCTAAAACTTTCTTTTGTTAAAAGTATTGAAGACAGACTTACTTGATGCTTTCAAACTTGCTGATCCAAAGTTTTCTAATAGCTGATAAGTAGTTGACAAGCAATTCCTTCTGTGACTTAGTATCTCCTTCCAAAGGAGCCAACTGTAGTTTGAGCGAGATGACTATTCCGTCATCTCTCACTGCTCAGGACCTGCTGGAGACCACTATTTTGCAGTCTCCTTGCATGGAGCACTTGTGGGCAATCACTCCGCTGTCCAGAGAGGTTTAAAGAGCTGGTCTACTCATCAGCTCTTCGTTCTTCATCACAATTTTCAGCTCTGCTTTTCACGGAGTTGTCTTCAGTCCATTATTCTTCCACTGCAAATCCCAGACTAAACAATAAGGTAAAGGTAAAGGTCCCCTTTGCATATACGTGCTAGTCATTTCCAGCTCTAAGGGGTGGTGCTCATCTCCGTTACAAAGCCGAAGAGCCTGCACCATCTGAAGACGTCTCCATGGTCATGTGGCTGGCATGAATAAATGCCAAAGGTGCATGGAATGCTGTTACCTTCCCACCAAAGTGGTCCCTATTTTTCTACTTGCATTTTTACATGCTTTTGAACTGCTAGGTTGGCAGAAGCTGGGACAAGTAACAGGAAATCACTCCATTACGTGGTGCTAGGGATTCGACCCACCAAATTGCCGACCTTTCTGATCGACAAGCTCAGCGTCTTAGCCACTGAGCCACCGCATCCCTATAGACTAAATAATACTCTTTCTCAAAATACTTATATTAAATAGGAGGATATAGTGGTGCCATTATATATTTGACTTAATTGTTTTTCATTGAAACAGATGGGTGACAGGTGACTGGGAACCTTGCAGCAAAAGTTGTGGGAAAACAGGATATCAGGTGCGTTCAGTACGATGTATCCAAACATTGCACGACAACACAAGCCGTTCTGTCCACACCAAATACTGCAGCAGTGATCGTCCGGAGGGCAAGAGGGTTTGCAATCGGGAACTTTGCCCTGCACAGTGGTGGATTGGACCCTGGTCACAGGTAAGCAGGCATTTAAATAATGATTCCATTTATACATTTGTTTCAATTGAAATAAATGGAATAGTCTCTGGCCCTTCAGTGGCCCCTTATCTTGGATGTACAAAACGGAATGTAGAGATGTTATGCAGTGGTGGGATTCAAATTTTTAACTACCAGTTCTGTGAGCGTAGCTTGGTGGGCATGGCTTGGTGGGCGTGGCAGGGGAAAGATACTGCAAAATCCCATTCCCTCCCCACCCCGCTAACCTGCTTTCCAGCTTAGTTCTCCTGTGCAGGGCAACAAAAGAAGACTGGGACTCGGCAGGCAGAGAATGGATGGGGATGGGGCCAGTCAGAGGTGGTATTTGCCAGTTCTCTGAACTACTCAAAATTTCCGCTATCGGTTCTCTAGAACTGGTCAGAACCTGCTGAATACCACCTCTGATGTTATGTTTATATAACAGCATGACTCAGCATTTGCCTTAGAGTCATCTGGAAGTTTAGAATGTTGGAAGAACAGTAACAATAGTGTGATTGTTAGCACTATGTAATGGTGCATGTGAGTGTGTATGTATAAAGATGAACGATATAAACCAAAAATGCATTTACAAAAGAGAATCGGAAGCCCAATTTTCTTTGTTTGCTCTCCAGTGTTCTGTAACCTGTGGTAATGGCACACAAGAAAGGCCAGTTCTCTGCACGACAAGAGAAAATATCACTGGCTTTTGTAAAGAAGATAGGCCGGAGACAACAAGACTCTGCAGGCTACCTTCATGTTCTAGTGAGTGTACACATTTTAAAAACTCTGATTCCTTGAGTCTTCTGGAAAGGCAGGGAAGGGTAAGGGCTGAAGTTGGGAGAACTCCTTTGTGAAATGCCAACAAACTGTAGAGATTCTATAGTCACATTTACTATTTCACTTCTGTATTGTCACAGTAATCTGTCCCATATTCCTAGTATTAACAGCTTTATCTTTATTGCAGCTGGAGAAGAAATTTGAGAAATGCTTCTTAAAGAAGTCTGATTTGGGGAAGGGTGACTCACTATAGATGATTTTTTTTGTGGGGGGGATGCTAGCAGGCTGGTATAAAATAATAAAGAAAGCCAAAGTGTTGAGAATCATTCTTGGCAAAAATCAAAAAACATTGTTTCTTCTCTGTCGATGTTTTTCAACCTTGACAACCTAAAAATGTGTGAACTTCAACTCCCATAATTCCCCAGCCAGCCATGGGAATTGAAGTCCACATGTCTTCAAGCTGCCAGGGTTAAGAAATGTTGGTCTATGAATTATCAGAGGATCACACATAGTGGTGGAATTCACATTTTTTTTACTGCCGGCTCTGTGGGAGTGGCTCGGTGGGCATGGCAGGGGAAGGATAACTGTAAAATCTCCAGTCAGAGGTGGTATTTGCCAGTTCTCTGAACTGCTCAAAATTTCCACTATCGGTTCTCCAGAACTGGTCAGAACCTGCTGAATACCACCTCTGATCACACATCATTTTGGAAACTTTGGTAGTGGAGACTAGATACTGAAATTAGTCGATTATCACATTTTTATTTTTCCTCACTACTTTTTTTTTTGTTCTCTAGTTTAGGGGTCTCCAACCTTGGCAACTTTAAGACTTGTGGACTTCAATTCCCAGAATTCCTGGGAGTTGAAGTCCACAAGTCTTAAAGTTGCCAAGGTTGGAGACCTCTGCACTAGTTCCTTGACTTCTTTATCTTCCAGTCTAAACTCACAATGGTCCACAATTGTCCTCTCTAGAGTTGTTGCAAGCCCTGTTCAACTCCGTCTCTCTCCTACTTGTTAAAAAATATACACTTTCAAGGTTTTAATTGCACACCTAACAGCCAGAATGTGTGAAGAAACCCTAAAATGGAAGTAAGCTTCTCTAAAAACATTTATTCACTATCTACATTTGTACCGTTAGCCTTTCTGAAAGCATGCCACATTGTGATACATTTGAACAGCAGGGCTTAAATGATTAACTTCATTAAAACTAAAAACACTGGTGTTTTTCTAAGTACAGTTTTGGCTTTCAAAATAGTTTCCTTTTTGTGATTAGAATGGGGTCTATTAATTCAGCTTTTGGATTGTAAAATGTTCCTTAAAAGCTACAAAAAAGTTCTCATATTTCCACCCCTCTTTCCAAATCTTTCTTTCTCCTTCAGAAAATTCATCAGATACATCCAAGAAGACCTATATGATACAGTGGCTGTCAAGACCGGACACAGATTATCCCATCCAGAAAATATCTTCAAGTAAAAGACCCATTTATAATTCTGCCTTTGCTTTTAGCTGCATGCCACATCAAATGTGGACTTTGCCCTCTGCTCTATTCTTTTTCCTATACGGAACATTTTCTTGAATCTTCAGAGTTTTATCTTGAGAGGAATCTTTTCCCCCCCTGCACTGGGTTGCAGTGTCCAATGTCTTACTTCTCTGGAGATTGAGCAGCCCTTCATTGCTGCAGTGGAGGTCGTCAAGGGGTTGGGGTGTGTGAAGCAGAATATCTGCAGTTTGTTGTAAGTTCTCTAAAAAGTGAGCTGGTGTCGGTTTGCTTGTTGGTTAGTGGTGGTGAAAAAAGGCTCTTAACTGGCTCATGATTTGAGTTCGATGGTGAAACTGACAACTTATTGTGAATGTGATCGCATCACAATAATGACAACTTGTAGTGCTAAGGTTTTCCTTTCATCTAAAGGTCCTCTAACTCATGGGAGATTAGGTAGGTCAATGTTTTTGCAGGGTATTCAAACAGGACAAAAGCACCCATTCCATCTTTCTTTATAGTCTCATTGCTTCTCAATCCATGTGTCACGATGGCTTTAAAACGTGTGTTTGTTATCATGAGAAAAACTTATTCTTCAGGAAGATGGGACTTCTTTTTATATATAGTCCATCAAATGCTGCTGCTACTATATACTATGCTTCAAAGGAATTTTCGTTTGGTTTATATTGATTTCCAAAAGTAAAAAAACACATTTTTTTAAATCAGAGTATACCTAACGTTCTTTTTTTCCTTTGAAAAAGCAATTAGAAAAACAACATGGCAGAACATGTACTTATGCTACAAGTTGTGATGTGCAGTATTGTAATATTGTTGAGACAATATGGCATTGACACACAGTGTAATGTCAAAAGTTGTTCGGCAATTACTTCTTTATTCATCATTACATTCATCAGTCTTTTTTCACCATATGCATATTTGGCTTGACTGTTCAGTTTTTCTATTTGTGTGTGTGTGTGCGTGCATGTGTGCGTGTATGATCTATAGATGTGTGTCAACTGGCAAGCATAATTGTGTGAACTACAGAATTACCTCAATTTTTATTGATTTGTTTTATTTTGCTTAGGGAAGAAGAAACTATGTTTAGAAAAATGCCTTAAACTTTAATTGCATTGGCATTAATCTCCAGTTCCAGCTTTAAATACAGTGTACTGGTATCTTGAATTGATATTCATGTACAGAGTGTTTTACTTGAATGATTAAACACTGGAAAGAAATTTGCACAGTCCATGTATGAGGGGGGAAAAAAGGATCATTACCAAATTGGATGGAGAAAAGTATTTTGCAATTCTTAATTTGTTTAATTGCAATTTATTCCTTCAACAGGCTTTGTGTTGAAGATCTAAAATATATTCTCCATGGACCACTCATGTAATATCAAAGAATAGAAAGGCATTAGTCCTGGGGTATCATAACAATTTTCTTGCTCTCTTTCCACTAACATTTGAGATACCTTACAAAGGTGACCCTGTGGATTTTGGCAATGTAGCACTTCAAAATGGTCATTATCATGTGATCACATATTTAAATTTTGCTGTTATTATTATTTCCTGCTGCACCATGTTATCTGGCAACATAAAGGCAAAGACATGTTATCTGGCTCTAAATACTGTTATGTAAAATAATTGGTGTATAACTGTTATCAACTTACTTATGACTGTTAGTTACCTTTCAATAGACAACTGTTAAGTGATGTTTGACAATATGGGTGGCTCTAGAGAATGGTGCAATAAGATACCTGGGCATTGTGCGCAGTTCTATATGCACTTTGGTTTATCAGGGATATTTTATCAGTGTTTTGTATGTATTTAAAACAATATTAAATATGTGCCAATTCAGTTTGCTGTTCAATATTTTCTATCAGGTCAGTTGAAATGTGTACCAAAGTGATTGTACAAATAACTATTTTTTTCTTACTGCTGAGTTAAAGAGATAACTTCAAGTCTGTCATGCGTATTACAAAATAAAAGATTAAAGTTCAGCAGGTCTGGTAGTTTTGTTGGAGGAATAACCACCTATGTTTATTCTGATATATGTACAAGTCACTAGCTTAAGACAAACAGCTTAAAGACTTTTGTATGTTAGAATAAGAATGTTAATGGTAGATTTTGTGCGTGCAAATGGCTTGCAATCCAGGAAATGATTGATGCCAAAATGAATTTGTTACATCTTTAAACTGCCACAAATCTTGATGCTCCATGGCTAATTGCCCCACCCCACTAAGGAAGTAAAGACAATGTCTTTCTATAAACTCTTAATTATAAATGAAATGTATCTTAATAGCATCTTAGGAGTCATTTCACCTGACTCTGTATTTAATCTAGACATTTTGCATATTTTACTATGAAAAAGAAGGCATTTTTCTAAAGCTGTTTCAATAGGCACCTTGAAGCGAAATGTTTCTTTAATTAGTTTGAAAATTACGCTTAGTTGAAAAATTAGTTTTAAATATATCTGGGGAAAAAAATCAAATATAAGTCATTATTGTGCCATTTTTACATATGTAGACATATTTAGCTCTACAATTGCTAAATTAATAGTTTTATATATATAAAACATGTGATCTCTGGCCTAAATAATTCAAGCAATTATTTCCCTTGTGAAACTGAACTAGAACTATTTTATAAAATCAGCACAAAATCAAATGACAGCAACAAAAGGTATTTATTTGTTTATTTCCCATAAGTATCTGGGAACTTTAACATTGTTTCATAATGCTGCTGTACTGTTATATTTGTAAAAGTACTAACATACGTTAGATTGATATGTTTGTGAATTAAACACACTCACGCCCAATATTTTAGATGATGAGTAAAGAAAGAACTATTATACATCTTTTCTGAAGTCAACAAATATTTCTGAACTGGAGTGGGCTCTGATTTGCAATGCAGTTAAAAGGCTATCGTCCCCTAACCCAGAGGTCCCCAACCTTTCGATCACCAGGGACCAGTTCCATGGAGAAAAATTATTTCATGGACTGGAGGGGCATGGTTTTGCGTGCTACCTACATCCTGTAGTTTGGGGCTTCGCTTGTTTGTGTGGCCTGGTTAATGGCATATCATAGACCGGTGCCAGTCCATGGACCGGAGGTTGGGGACTCCTTCCCTAACCCCTAGGCTCCCCTATCTGCATGGATCTTCCTTCTAAGGGCCTGATGATGCTGTCATACTATCCTGATTGTTATACATTTCCCAAGATGCATTTGAAATTTCTTTCTTCTGGAACACAGAAACAACACTATGGTGAAGAGTTAGCTTGCAAGCGCACGCACACACATGCACGCACACACACACGCACACACAGAGCACAAACTACACTCCACAACAATTTTAACAAGGAAAGATTGTAGCATGTATATCCCAGATTATTTAGGCATCAAGAAATTCACGTGGTATGTTGTTGCTCCTAGAAATTAAAGTATGTGTATCTGATTGGACATTCTTCTTGTGCTAACTATAGTGGAATGGTTGGAATTATATAAGAATATTGCTCTATGCTTCACAGCTGCTATAGTTTCCTTAGTGTGTTTTACCATATGAGAAATTTCAGTCCTTGTTTAAAATATGGTTCCTGCAACCTGCATTTACTTCTACTTAACTTAGTTTTCAGATTGCTCATTCTCCCTCTCTCTGCAATGCATACTTAGAAACCTAGTTTGAATTTCAATATTTATTTCTTATGTAAACAAGGATGCTTGAAACCCCCCCCCCCCCATGCTTTATAAGCAATGGGGAGCACTGACATTTCTTCAGTATAAATGATCCCTGGAGTTATCCTGTTCAAATTCCAGTAGGGTAGCAAAAATGAATTGATAATGAAAGCAGCAAGGCCATGTTGCAACCAGATGTAGTATGAAATTAAATACCACGTTAACTGTGCATCGAAATTAATATTATCACCAGATGGCAATATGGATGTGTTCCTTCTCTTCCCATCTGGACAGATAATGCTGCAAAACTCAGAGCTGGTTTTGCTGCATGTACACAGGCACTTGGTCTCTATATTGATCTAGCATTTCACGCTAACCTCTCTCTTCCTCGGCATGTTTCTTCATACAAAGAGATGACATTAGCACATCTCTCCCTTGTTTTCCTTTTTTAAAACTTTCCACATTTTGAAGGCATGATTAGGCACACATAGATGTTGAGATAAGCGCACAAATTATGCAAGAGAGACAGTACTAGTTTTCAGAAGAAGTGAAGTTTTTGAACTTGATGGAGTTTTTGTAAATGTTCAATTCTCCTCCATGACTATGAAAATATGTACAGGTAGTCCTCAACAAAATGACCAGTTACTCAACGGCTGGTCAAACTTATGACAGACCTCTCCAAGTCTGTCTCCCAAGTTCTTAAAACGTACAACTCAGATTTGAACTTCCAATGGCCTCCAGCTCTCCCACAGCCACATGACAGTTTTTGGTGGAATTTTTTTTTTTTGCTGGAAACTGGGTTTTACCTCTGGTTTCTGGCAAAAATGCCCATTGTGTACAATAGAGTCATGTAACCGCTGTCATATTCACTTACAAGCACAGTGATTCACTTAATGTCCACTGCAAAAAACATTTCAAATTGGGTGCAGTCGCATGGTGACATGCTTAACAACTGGCTTTAATTCAGCTGTAATTCCGAGCTCAGTTACAGTCATAAGTTGAGGATTGTCTGTATTGCCTTCTCTTGATGCATCAGTTCCTACAATGGAGGATTCATCATTTATCTAAATATAGTGTTAAGTGCTTGTTTTAAAAATGATGTGATCTCAGTTATATACTGAACAACCTTTTTCAGAAAGTGAGACAATCTGTTTAGAGAACTGCCTTGGTTCTTACCTTTAAGTAGTTCCTGATGGAAGGCTACCTGGTAGCATTCTAGCAATGTATAGAAACTCAGAAAATGGTGCACTCCTAATAGACAAAAGATTCTGTACATATGCCATTTGGATAATGGCATCGTATATTTTGGGACGGGGCAGTGATCAAGATGCTGGGCTTGTCACCTGGAAAGCTGGGCAGCCCAGGATCGAGCAATGGGGGTTAGTTCCCATCCTCACCCTGGCTCCTGCCAACCTAGCAGTTTGAAAGCATGCAAAGCATGCATTTGATGGGAATGTAACAATGCTTCATGATGTCATGCTGGCCACATGACCACGGACAGTGTTGGCTCAATGGCCTTGAAACGGACTGGAACACCACGCCTTACAGTTGTCAATGACTAGCAGAGTAAAATCCACAGGGACTCTTTTAGCTTCTTATGATATATTATAATAAACCAATAGAAGCCAAAAGGATGAAGCCCAGTGAATGTGCTTCTTTGACAGCAATTTATCTTGATGTCAGGGTAAGAAAGAAAAAAGAGAATAATTTCAGCTCAGTGCCTGTTATTATATAGCCAAAACAATGCCCAAGAAACCTGTAGAAAAACAGTAAACTCTACCCTCCCCATCCAAGACCAATGAAGATTTAGCATGCTCAGTGATTGTATAATTCTCAGTGACTTGTGAAGGTACTAGTTGAAACTTTCATGACAAATAGTATGGTGAATGGAATCTTTCAATGTCATCATTGCCAGTGTATATTTTGCTCCAGTTGTTAGTAATAAAACAACAAAATAATAAGTCAAACAAGTGCAAGTATGCTGGTGTGTGATCTGTGCTAGGCCAAACACAGTAAGAGAGTTCCTATGGTCAGATTAACAGAATGCATGAAAATCAATGAGAAAGCTGCTCCTTATATAAATAATTTTCATTCCACGGATGTACCATAGTCAAGACAAGCTGTTGACATAAGCTTAGGAAAATCCAGCATGTAACTGGGTGGTGATCCAGAGGACAGGTGGTTCTAACAATATAATCACTATCATGCCTAAAAAGTTGTCTCCTGTCTAATTTCAACGTGTGCATTTGGGGACACACAAACGTACATCACTCAGGAATTGTCACTTTGTTCCCATATTCTCTAAAAATTAAATCAATGCATGAAATTTGTTTTATAGCTTTAGATCACTGCAAAAAACATGAGAGAGAGCTTTGGTTAAAAGCACATATAATACCTTATTTATGCAATGGCCTCTTAAGACCCAAGCTTACTTGACTAGGTTTGGGGTGTATAGCATAAACTTAAATGTATTTTTCTCTTCCAGCAGAACATTGCAAAGGAGACAGATCAATGTTTTGCCGTATGGAAGTTCTCCACCGGTACTGTACCATTCCTGGATATAATAAACTGTGTTGCAAGTCTTGTGGTATGTATGCTAATGAAACAGAACATGGCAACTCAACAGTTAATGATATTGAAGAGGACTTCACTCCCACCCTTGCAACATCTGTTGAAGATCACATACCACATAGAGCAACAGATCTACCAGATGTTGCTATGGTAAATATCTCCAGTTCTAACGTGACCATAGAGCAACCAGAAGGCAACACACTGGATGCACCCTATAAAATTCATGAGATGGAAAATGAAGTGCCACAACACAACATCATTTGGAGGAGGAGACCACCGCATGAAAGGACAAAGAACCAAAGAATTCAGCAGCTGATTGCAGAAAAAAGGAAAAAAGGAATGCTCAGGGAATTGCGTTAAATTGAAAATATATATTTTCTCTCTTATAGAGATGTTACAGTACTGCAGTAATGCTCATGCCACCCTAGAACCTAATTTTTTAAATAGTGGTGCTATTGGCAGAAATGCCTAATGCTACAGCTTGCAATAAATAGACATGTAGGCTTATTTAATTAAAGAAAAGATAAATAGCATAACAAATATTAGGGTTACAAATATCCACTGAAAACGGTACAATAGCACCATAGCTTAACAGCTATGCAACAATGCTACATACAGGTAGTCCTTGTTTAAAGACTGCCTTGTTTAGCAGCCATTTACAGTCATGACCATGATAAAAAAAAATTACTTTACAACACGTCCTTATTTTATGACTTTCACAGTTCTGCAAAGGAAAAGAATTGAAGTAAGATCACAAGCATGGTTGCAGTTTCACTTTGCTTGATGAGTTGCTGATCCCAACTGTGGTCACTAAACAAGGACTACTTGTAGTAAATGTCAGCAGGGTTGTTTCTTTCTAGTTTCCATCTTGCTCCATCTCTGCGTATGTTTGAATCCAATGGAATCTACCTGGGTAATACTATTTTTATCAGCAAAAGAAGTCTAATCTATTGCCAAAATATTAAATAAGCCTGCAAAAAACTTCCTATAGAATTTCAGTGGCAAGGAAGTATGTGTCTGGTTTTTTTTTTTTAAAAAAAAAAACTGATTGCCATTTATTTGGACAAGTCAAATTGCTCTATGTACAAAAGCTTTGATATCCATTGTACTGAACTCAAATATGCCCGTCTTTCCATTGAATTCAGAGGTGCTACCTCCATACTCAGGGATGACAAAAAAAAGCCTGACTGAAGTGTTGAGGAATTAATTCAATCTGATTTTGGGAGCCAAGCCATAGAATCGCAATAACCACTTGAAAAGCACACTTGGTGATGTTATGATGTTACCGTACAAAATCCAGCTGGAAAATAATGTTCTTCAGAAACAGTAAAAGAACATTTAAAAAAAAGAGTTATAAGGCTATCTCTGTACAACTATCAAAGTTTCTCATCTCATTCATGAAGAAGTAATGTTAGAACCATAGATGCATAAGAGTGTGTGCGTGTGTGTGTGTGTATACACATACACACAAAACAACTAATTCCCAATATATTTAACAGTTTCCCTTTCGTTACCTTAAAAATGACATGCTGATGACTTTTTTGTAAGGATTCCAGGAACTGCACCCAACGTTTCATGGGTGTCACAAGGCTGTGGACCTCAAGATCTATATCTCTGACCAAAGGATTGCAAGTCCTTTCCATCACTCTGTGACTTTTCAACTTCTTACTTAGACACCAAAACCCCCTTCTTATTTATGATATACCAACTCCTGTATCATCTTGATGAAGCCTGAAGGAGATATTTGGTGGCATCATCAACCAAATGCCATGCTTATACACTTGAATCCAATCTCAAATATATTAATGGCAATAATTGTGTGTTGCTGTTGTACCAGTCTTGTCATTTCTCCCCTTCCCATGAATTCCCACAGTAAGGTAGATGACCCACGTACTAAATCTAATTCCACTTTCAAAATATGGCTTGCACTGTACATTTAAAGAATTACATTGTAATACCTCTTGTACATGTTTTAATATACAAATATGTTTTCTAAAAGTGTGCTTACATCACAGATGTTAATTTGGGACTCCGTTCAATACTTCAGACAATAATCACTCTGACTCAGAACGAAAAGAGGCTGCCGAGTTTGATGCAGACTTATTCGAAAGCTAGAGTCAGTATAACTTCTCATTGAGCAGCTACAATGAAGATTAATATTTTGTTACTTTTTGCCAGAAGTGATTAACTTTGTAGGCACAGTAGAACCCTCTAAGGGTGAAGCCTATTCAGTTTCAAAAAGAGATGCAGTGATGTTCTTTTGTTTGTTTCTTAGTGTCAACATTGACAAGCAATATCTAACATTCATTCTTGTTTTGTTTGCAGTCTTACATAAAATGCAAGTTTAAGGTACTTGTCTAAACAAGTACTTTGGTTAGATGATACCTCATAAAAACAACTAATGTTCTCCTTTGGCAAATATTTTGATTTGGAGATCTCTTTAAAAGCTCACAATGAGCACTTCAGTAGTTTCCAAATTGCAATAAGCAAGGATTTCTACTTGGAAGTGCCCCTGATGAAGTCATTCTGTGATTAGAGGGGAGATAGGTCAGTCTCTTAACTTTGGTCGCCTTTCCTTCTTTTCCCCAATTTGTGAGCTTTCTGGTGGTTATGGAAACAAAACAGTAGATTTTGCCGACAGCCTCTGTCTCCAGCAACATGAGACACTCATAAACACTCTTGCTCAAATTGACTTCTCTTGCATGGATCTTCTCTGACCTTAATCATAGATTTGGCCATGGTTTGGAAGTTATCTGGATTACATGTGCAATCCTCATGACCCCATGAATCACATTTTCAAAAACTATTTGAAATTAAATTGTATACATTAACTCACTGGAAAGATAGCTTAAATAATCCTAGTGTTTTTAAATAATCCTGCTACTCTCCTTCCCACCCCCAAATATCTGCATTTCATACTCTTAAAAGCTTGTGGTAAAATGATTGCATTTATTCAAATCTTCATCATCTACATGACTGGATTTTCTTTTTTATTTCAGTTGGTGCTTTTTGTCTAAAGAAAATGTAGCTTTTGTTTATTTTCTACATATTGCACATATCCACTGGGGTAGTGAACAATTTGTGCTATCAGCAGGTAATTGGGTCTACTATATTGTTGCAGAAGGGAACAGATGTCATTATGCATATACATGCATGACGATACTGAATCTACTTAGATTTTAACAACCTCAGTTTGTCAGCCCTTTGAGTACTGGTTTCCTCTTGCACAGCACTTTCTGAAAGCATGCATGGATATCAACAGCATCATGGGTAAACCAACCTCTCACTTGGTTTAAAGAGAGAGTGGCATTTATTCATGGGTAACACCCCACCACCAGAATTTTTTTAAGTGAATGTGAATATAGCTTTGCTTTGATTATAGACCTTTCCACCTGCAAACAAAAGCAAGCAAGCAAAAACATTCAAAGCCATCTTGATGGCTAGAGAGTAGGTATCAGCATAAACTGATGGCAGGTTTAAAAACAGCTTACCTCAATGGTTGGTGAGAAAACCCAAGGATAAACAAATAGTTTGCATGCTATTCTCAACAACTGATGATTGTTTCATTACATTCCTGGACATTTCCCCTGTTGATTGAACTGATATACTTGTTGTCTTTATCTGAGCAATGCATACAAAAGAAATCTTTTGCTGTTCTTTTTACACTCGGAACCTAACTGAAGAAGCACCTGTATTACTGCAGATTTTAAATAAATAATCACTGAAATCTGCTGTTTGTTTCTTTGTTTTTTTATATTAGTTCTTTGGTTGGCTGATATTGTGCCTTCCTTCTAGTACCTGAAGGGCCCTTACTCAGGGATCTCCATTTTATTTATAATAAAGTTGTGAAGAAGACCAGGCTGAGAGAAAATGGTTGGTTCAAAGTTTGCTTAAACAGACCAAAGTTTTTGTTCAGCATACCACCTATATCACGGGTGGGATGCTACTGGTTCTGCCCGGCTCTATAGAACTGGTAGCTCTGAAGAGCAGCAGAGACCGAACTGGTTCTGTGTTTGCTGCTGTTTGACCCACCCACCTGCCCAGGCTCTTACCTGTCCTTTATTGCCTGCTTTTTCAACCTCAGCTGCTTTGCGTGGCATAGCTGAGGTTGAAAAAGCAGGAAAAAAGAGGCTTTTCAAACACTGCACACCTGCACGCAGCGCTTTTCATCTCTCTCCAGAGCACACAGTCACCGAACCAGTAGTAACACCAGTTGAATCCCACCCCTGACCTATATATAGGGATTCACGTTATAGCCTATTGAATGAGATCAGTCTGGAGGTATCTGATAGCCAGGTCAGATAGGTGGAGGTAAAAAATAGTGAATGCTGGATATAGGCAGAATCTGAAAGTCATCAAGTTGAGGAAATTAACAGACAACATAGGATTGATCCCACATTTGAGCAACATAATGGTCCTTTATAATGTTTATGTCAAGGTTCCAAGTAACATACTCATAGCAAGCAAAACTCCGAGGCGGGTAGATTCCTCAAAGAATAGATTTATTGGATATGTCATATTGGCACAAGCTGATGAAAACCAAGACTAAACGTTCCTGTGGTTTTCATCAAATTAAAAATAGAAACTTTTTACTTTCTCAAAATAATCATATTGTCCAATCAGGATACAGTCCAGTTGCTAGATGGCTTTAGTCCCCTCCTTCCAAGCACCTGCTGGAATGCCCTTGGTTCCCAAGAGAAAGTATTTTGTTTTGGCTACAAAGCCCAGCTATCTCTACTCCCCCCTCCCTATCCCTTAGCTCCAGGTATAGCAACACTGAAGCCTCAAAATGGCCTCAGTCAGGTCAGCTTCCAGGTTGACAATTTATTTGTCATGTTCCAATTCTAGTAATTTGCCACACATCCTGGCATTTGGATATGCATTCTATTAAACATAAGAAAACATTTAATCATTTGAATGGTACTCAAGTAAATATGGTTGCACTCTTGCACATGCTTCTACATGTATATTTGGTGCTTATTTATAGGGCAGCTTCTGCACATAGACTATCTTTGTTAGATTGTGATGACTGTCCAATAAATAAAGATGGTGAGATTATCCTTGCAGAACATGAGAAAATGCAGTAAATCATTGTGTATCTCAGTAAAGGAATTCATATTTATGTCTTATATTTATATATATCTTCTTTTCTTACATTCTTCATTTAAAAACATATACCTACCCACTCAACATTCTCCTTATCCAAATTATTATTGCTACTGATAAATTTTCCCTGTCTATGGTAATTTGGAAAATTACAATTATGTCACCATTTTACTGATTAATAAACTAGCAAGAACAATTGCAATACAGATTCATCTATGAGAGTATTTTAGGAGTGAGATCCTGATCAGATTTGAACATATTAATTTAAAACTTGAGCATCATTACAATAGACACTTAAAAGGCTTGTTTGT